TTCAGCAGTACAAATACTTACCATTTTATTACAAATGCCTACAGTATTCAGTACAGCAATGCACTGTACATGTTTGTAGCCTGGAAGCAATAGGCTATACATATAGTCTAGGTCAGTGGTCGGCAAACTCATTAGTCAACAGAGCCAAATATCAACAGTACAACGATTGGAATTTGTTTTGAGAGCCAAATTTTTTAAACTGAAACTATATAGGTAGGTACATTGTTATTAACTTAATTAGGGTACTCCTAAGGCTTAGGAAGAGCCACACTCAAGGGGCCAAAGAGCTGCATGTGGCTCGTGAGCCGCAGTTTGCCGACCACGGGTCTAGGTGTCTAATAGGCTAAACCAGTGGTTGGCAAACTGCAGCCCCTTGTGTGTGGCTCTTCCACAAAATACCACGTGCGGGCGTGCATGTACAGTGTGATTGAAACTTCGTGGCCACACTCAAGGGGCCAAAGAGCCGCATGTGGCTCGCGAGCCGCAGTTTGCCAACCACTGGGCTAAACCATTTAGGTTTGTGTGAATGCACTCTATAATGTTCACACAATGATAAAATTGCCTATCAAAGCATTTCTCAAACTTACCCAATCTTTAAGTGGCACATGACTCTAAATTAAACTAAGTTTATAGTCATCACTTGTTATTAGCACCTCTCGAGTGTCATAGTAACATACTGTTATTAAAATAAATTGTCCTTAAATATACCAGAAAATTTGATGTCCAATAAATATAAAAGGGAGAGAGGCTCTCAAGATCTTTCTGAACATCAAGCTTTCAAATCTGGGAGAAACAATCTTATGGACAGTCTATTGCTGCTACTATTCACTCGTCTCTCTACAGAATCCTCTCTGTGGGCCACAAAGACCAGGTGTGCATAAGGTGATGCCACATATGATGACATCCTGCTAACATTGCTGCTGCTCTCTTACTCAGTTTCTCAAAGACAGTCACCTGGGTACAATCAGGAAATGGGTCCCAATTTCATGGCCTCCAGCTCTAACTCTATCCAGCACAATAACTGGATCCCCGGCTCTTCACTCTGCCTTCAATATTAAGAATGTTTGAGGAATGAGTCCCGTGTACTTCCTTATCTCCCTTCCTTAGAGGCTCCTGAGTGATGCCTCTCTTCCTGGAGGTAATTGCTGCCGTTGTCATCATGTCTACAGCTCCACCCACATTGGTGACATTTCTTCATTCTACCCTGATGCTTATCACATAGTATTTTACTACTTGAATTGGAGAAAGAAGGTTGGGGATGACTAGGGAGAAATAAACTCTGCTGATATGAGGCACAAAACAAAGCAGCCTTATACTCCAGCCATCTTTCATTTACCTGGATCCTCCTTTCAGTCCCTCACCCTCCCCATAACCTCCACCCAAGGGGAAATAAAATGTGAATGACACATCACTGTGAAACTCTAAGCATCATATAACCACACTCACCTCCAGGCAATGTCCCTGCACCAAACACATGCCTGGATTCTGATTCTCTTTGAGGTCTGTCCTTCACCTCCCTCCCCTCCTTGAGCACACAGAATGGGAGGTAAGGCAGCACAGGGTAACAGATGTGAGGGCCAGAGACTGCCCCACCACAGTCTCATTAAGTCAGTAAGTTTCCTCTGAGGCTTTTAGGTTGTCTTCAATCAGGTAAAATCCAGGCCATTCGCCCTGCCAACCAGACATGCCTAAATAGCAAGCTATTTAGGTGCTTACTCTGGGAACCTCACAAGATTCCAAAGAAAATGAGCCATAAACACTTTCAAAATATGATGTAGCCTCTAAGAGAGGGCACATTAAATTCCTCAGCAATTTGGAGGGGCCCATGATCAAATAATGAAGACAAAATTTTTAGAAAAGAAAACAAAAGCTGTAGAGGTATTCATATAAGCATGTATGGTTATAGGTAATAAAATAGATGACCAAATTGCTGAGACTTTCAAGTGATGAAAAATTATTTCAGTGATAATTAGGCTGTCCACTCAAGCCCTAGAATTATAGGTCATTTGCTGGAAGCTATCCATTGTCTACACTATCAGGAAAGTGCAAACAAGGAACCCAGAAGGCTGACGGACCTTGAGCTTTGACAAGAGCTAAGGCTATGCACCAATTGTTCTGTCGAGACAATGGTGGCTCAAGCAATTTCCTGACCTAATAGCCTCAAAGTGAATCTTTACTAATATTTACTGACCTTTAAGATAGTCTGTCTGCTACCGGAATTGCCTGCCTGACCAAGGGCAGATGTGTATCTAAAATTGAATAAAAAGCTAGCAGGGCCTGGGCACCAGTGAAGCTTTTCCTCTTGAGAAAGACTCTCCGTCTGGCGCCCTGTAATTTCCAAATTCAAATTCATATTTCTTGTCTAGTCTCTTCATTTGTGCGTGGCCCTGTTCCAGGTCCTTAACCCTAGCCGTAAAGGTCACAGCTTTCACAGTCCTTGGAGATGAGAAGTGAGGATGAGGAGGCAAGCACCACAGTTAAAAAAGGCCATGGCCATGCATTTAGTCTGTGTGTCAGGCCTTCTGCAGGCCTTCTCACTTCTCTCTCGCTTCTATGATGGATTTCAGTGACTTACCTCAAAGATGGTATTTCTCCAGCATGCTAGAGTTATCTTCCTGAGGTACAAAGGTGAATCAGTTTACTCCCCTTCTCAAAAACCTACAATGGCCCAGAAATACAAAGTCCAAACTCCTTATATACTTAGGTCATAAACCGTCTTACCAGACTTGCAATAATACTGCAAAACAGGTAATGGGATGCCGCTGGCACAATGATCAAGAGATTTGTAGTCACAGCTCTCCCACTAACTAGCTATGGAATATTGGGCAAAACTTGGTAGCCTAAAAGCTTGTGTCCTTTGTAAAATGGGGAAGGGAATAGTATCTAAGTCGTTGGGCTCTTGCAAAGGTTCAATAAGAGTAAATGAGTTATACTTCCCACTATTTCACGTGCTGTTTTTCACATCTCCCACTCACTGTCATAGCTTTGCTTATGTTATCTCAGCTGCACATCTCTCTCCATCTCCAGGACCCTGCACTCATCTTCCATTTGCAGAACGTTTTCCAGACCTGGCTTGAATGCCACCTCTTCAAATAATGCATTCTTGGCTCTACCCCCATCAAAATGTATGTCTTTTCACTGTCCTCCACATGTACCTCTATTATTCCTTCATTGAGATTCCCATTACAATTTGTAATTCACAAATTTGACTCTCTTTTCTGGGCTATATATTATCTAAGGTTCATCATATACCAACTTTTATTTAACCTTTCTTCTATTTCTAGTTCCAGCAGAATGATTTTAAAGTAATAAGCACTCTGTTTGTAATTATTACTTAAAATTGACTTGCTTTAAAATTTCAACCCTCCTATTAATTTAGTCTCCTCTCCCTTACATATTGTATTTCATAATACAATATGTAAGAAAATATTAACTATTCAAATTCTAAATATTGAATTTTATTTTATAATTATTTATTCCCTAAGTATCTGTGGCATAGTATAAAAATCCCACTGATAATTTAGTTTCTACTACATTTTATGACAGAAAAATTAATCTCTAATACTTAGAGATTCTTAGTTAGAATTTTTAATGCAAAATTTTTAAACTATAGAAGTGATATAAAATATTATAAAACCTTGGAAAATAGAGAAAAAAGCAATACAAAGTCCATCCTATCAAACATGAGCCTGCTTTCTAAGGACTTACTATTCAAAGTGTGGTCTGAACCAGGAGCAGCAGCATCTAACAAGGCTAGAAGCTTGCTAGAATGCAGAATCTCAGGCCCATCTCAAACCAACTCAATCAGAATTGATTTGCACTTAAGATGTGAATAGCACTGATCTGAGGTACTACCTAGAACCCAGCAGAGCATGTTTACCAAGCATCTCCCTCCTTCTAACAAATATTTATGGGGCACCTGCTATCTGCTATGTACTGTACTAAAGTCTGTTTCCATCTGTAAAATTTTTTCTAGGACTGACACAAGAATGTAGGAAGAAAGTATCATCTTCTTTTGAGCTGCTTTGGGCAAATAAACTCATTTTGATTGAAATAGCTGCCAGAGGTACAGAACATCTACATTCTGAAGTGGTTCTACTCCTCATTTTCAAGTTCGCATACAGTGATGTTTCTAAGTCTAGAGTTTAATTCTTTTTGTAATATGCTCACTCCTTCCATCAAAAGCTGAAAAGTAAGAGGGCAGGGGGAAGCACTGACATGAACGTTCCACAGTAGAGCTTAAAGAACACATTTTGTTTGCCTTGGACAGCTTCCATGAAGTTTTCTGTTAGGGAATTTAAGTTCAAGGGAAGCCCAGAAAGTTTCAAAGGTAAATCTTGGGATATTCCTTCAGAGTAATTTTCCATGGGGAAAAAAATTTGGTAGACTCAGACAACTGGGTGACATATCCCCAAATATCCTGTGGATATACTTGAAAAAAAAGAGTGCTCTGGAGAAGTGCCCTTTAAGCATCAGAAGATACATTATGCATAGTGTACACTTTTTATTAACTAAGGGATACTCCTCCAGAAAAGAAAAAAAAACACACCTATTAGTAATATTATGCAGCTCAAAAGGCTGAAAAGCAGTCTTACATGAATGTTAGAAATAGCCTGGAAAATGACATTTTAATAAGGATGTCCAAAGGAACATGCGCAGTTTCTCCTATGGAAAGGTGGTGGGGGCCTGCTGTTGGAGTTATCTTGGAGAGGAGGTGGGGCCACTTGGTGATTAAAGGTCAGCTGACCCATGGATCTCTATACGGACCTTCAGTCTCCTGAGTCGCCAAGGAACTCTATATGGATCTTCAGTCTCCTAAGTCACCATGGAGCAGCCCGGCCTGAAGCCCTCCAGGACCCCCCCCCCCCACCACCACCACCACCACCACCAACAACAACAACAACAAGGCCAGGGTTTTTCCTGATCTGCCAATTTGCCAACACGTTCCCATGATTATCGGCGTGCAGAGTTCTCATATCATTAGAGATCCTATAGTTTACCTCCATGAAAGACCTGTCTGAGGTCAGACTGATCCCAGCCTGCAAGTTTTCCTGCCTGCAGACCCTGCAGCCGCGCCTGTCTGCCCCGGGAAGCCAGGAGTAACCGAGGGAGGAGACTGGGGCGGCGGAGGGTGGGAGTCGCTCCGAGGGGCAGCCGGGGAGGGCGCGGGCCAATCGGAGCGCGCTCCGCCGGCGGCCAATCACCGGCCGCCTCGCCCGGCAAATCTGCCCCGCAGTGCGGGGCGGGGCTGCCGCGAGTCCGGGCGCCGCGTTACACTTCTGAGCGGCTTCGGGAAGCACAGGGCAGGGGAGTGTGTGCCCAGAGCGGGGGACAGGAGGCCGGCCCAGCTCCTGTGCCAGCCCAGGGACATACCTAGAAGCCTAGATCAGGGTGATGATGGTGCGTTCTGGCGCTCACGTGTGGGCAGACTCACCGGCGGGTCTATGTGCTGTGGAGGCACCTGTCTTGTGAGTGGCTCCGGGCGTGGCTGCCCTTCGGACGTTCAGTTCCTGAAGATTTACCTCTAGGGGCCTACCTTCCCCGAGCTCCGGAGGGGAACCTGAGAAGTTTAACGGAGCCGGGACTGAGCAGATTACGAGGGGAACAGCGGCTGGGCCGGAGAGGGTGGGACTGCGGGTGCCAGGGGGGGGAAGGAAACCACCTATTTGCCCCGTCGTCCGGCCCTAGGGCCTTTTGGCAAGACTGGCATGACCAAAGTGGCCCTGAAATGTCTAGAAAGCCCAGACAATGATGATCACTGAGTGAGTGGCACTGGACTGAGCCTGGGCGGCTTGTTGACTGACGGAGAGGGATGCTAGGGAGGAAACTCAGGATGGGGACCATCTGTTCCCCCATCCCCAGCGGGACAAAGACCTCATCGGACGTCTGCAATGCCGACTGGATGGCCTCGCTGCCCCCTCACCTCCACAACGTCCCCCTTTCCAATCTGGCAATCCCAGGTACTCTTCTGTTCCTACTTGTTCCCACTGTGTTTGCTTCTGCCATTATAGTGCTATTAATGGGTTGGGTGGCTTTTCTGTTGTGCTGAGAAAATAATTGTCAGTGACCTTAACTAAACCTCTGTTTATTTCCAAACCAAAAACTTAACACCGAGGCAACTGCTATAAAGAGATTTAAGTACATTGCATGGTTTGCAAAAGGGACTCGGGAGAATGGAAGCACCCTGTTTTTTGTTGGTTGGTTGGTTTGTCTTGGGGGGGGGGGACGGGGGTTAAAATTGTGTCTTTTTGTATTTTTGTTTGTTTGTTTGTTTTTACTTGAAAGCCTTATCCTAAGACTATTACCTTCTTAATACTGGGGCCAGAATATGTGAAGGGTACATATTTACTCGAATCACAGAAAAAGGGTAAGGAATAAAAAAAATCATTAACAATTTTAGATCTAGATCAAAATTAAAACTGAAAAGTATTTCCTTTTTAACTTCTCTGACCTTGCATATTAAGGGGGGGGCGAGGAGGGGCACAAATTATCATTAAAGAATAGGTTCAGAACCAGGACTGAGAATAAGGACACATATTTTTGTTGTGGGAAAAGCCAGAAATAGAGAATGCAAGTGCTTGTCACAGGCAGTCATTAGGTGTGATGAGGTGGTGGTGTTTGAAGCTTTGTCTATATATACAGGTGTCTGCCTGACTGATCTTGAACTGCAGTCTTGAAAACCATTTTTTCTCCAGCTACTGTCTCTTTTCGGGGGGGGGGGGAGGGTTATAACTTGACATCACTCTCATTAGATTTGTTAAATGGGCCCTTAAAATCATGGTTTCTAGGGAAGGACATTTGGACCACAGTCATCTTGGCTTCCTGTGCTGGACAAAATCCTAGATGCTGGTACTTGGAAAGCACTCCTAGAAGCAGAAGATGGACTACTGCCAATCCTTGCTCTCACCTGGAGACATAACAACTGACTTCACCCCTAGACTACCAGACAAACTCCGAGCATTCCTGGGAGCAGTCTGCCTTTTGGGTGGCTAAAAGATGACCTCATGCAACCCCCAGATTTTTGCTTTCCATGCATGAGGAAGAGTGGTGCTGGCCTCAGATGCAGCCTTTTCTTAATCACCTCTAATATTGGAGGACTTCCAGGTTCATTGTCCTCATGGGGTCTTGCTGCTTTTGAGCTGGGAGAGGGCTGCTAAATGTCTTTATAGTCATGATCACTTGTGTTTTATCTGCCTTTGACTACTGCTTCTTGGGAAATGCCAGATGGTTGTGCTTCAGAACAGGTCTTCTCCTTGTTTAATTGATGCCTGTGGAGTCATCACTGGAATGATGCACAGGCCTCTTTTAACATTAGTCATTTGCCATCAGGCATTCTGAAGGATTGTTTTGTCAAGTGGTACAGCAGATAGGTCGTGTGTGTTTGCAAACAGAATGGCATCTTAAGCAGGCCCTAAGTGGCTCTATCATTCAGGGCATGTCCAAAGTAGGCTGAGGCTTCTTCCTTCCCGTTGTACTTGGGACAATTCAGACCACAGCAGCAGCTCTGCCTGTGGCTTGGCAGTGCACCTGACTCCAGGACTCCGGGAAGGAGCTGGGCATTTGATCTGCAAGCTATAGATTATCTCACAGTAACTAGAGTTACCAGGGATTGCTAACAGCCGGGACCTGCTGTGGGGACTGGAAATTCAATGATTAGCCACGATGTAGGACACAGGAATGTATTCACCCTGCTTAGTAAAGTCTGGTCCCTCTAAGCAAAAACAAAAACAAAAAAAGGCCTTGACTCTTCAAAAGATGCTGAATTCACTACTGTGAATGCCCTTTTCCCAGCAGTGGAAGTATACTAGTATGTATGTATATACAAGCTCAAGACAGGAAAGTCACATATTAAGTGTGAGCCACCCCTTTCACACTCCTGCCCCATCAGTAGTTCCCTTTCCCCTACCTCATGCTTAATATTTCCTGGCTAAATGCTAGCTGTTAAGTTCTGCCAAGCCTTGCTAGGAAATACAGAAGGCATTCAGGAAGTAGAGGCTACCATCTTTCTCCCCCTCCCTCTCTTCCTCTTCCCCCTCCTCATCATCATCATTATAGCTATTATTTCCTGAGCACTACCATGCAGCACCTACATTAGCTCAAATCCTTACACCTCCGAGATAGGTATTAATATCCTCATTTTGGAAATAAGGAAATTATTGTTCAGTGAGGTTAAGTAATTTTCTCAAATAGTAAATAGCAGAACTAATACCTAAACCTCTGTGTAGCTAGCTCCAAAACCCATGCACTGTTTTTGTGCCCTTAAGGGGACCTTGGGAAGTGCAGAGCAGCAGTGTATAAGGGGGTGAGGGGTAATTTCTAATTGAAACCCAGTTTTCATAGATCATCCTCTGCAGCAAATGAAAGAATTTTTCAAACTAATTAGGTGTGTATGTGTGTGTGTGTGTTTTAATTTTCTACATTTTTTAAGATTTATTGGGGTGACATTGGTTAATAAAATTATGTAGGTTTCAGGTGTACAATTCTATAATACATCATCTGTACCCTGTATTGTGTGTTTACAATGGCAAGCCAAGTTTCCTTCCATCATCACCGTTTATCCCCCCTATGCCTTCTTCTACCTGCCTCCATCCCCCAAAACTATGTGGTTTTTATCTAACTGATTATGAATCACTGTGAAGAGATAAATTGATACATATATATATGTACATGTTATATATCTGAGTAATACAGGGGTGAACAAAAGTAAATTTATAGTTGTGAGTGTGTGAAACACAGAGTTTATTCTTGTACTATTTATTGTATTATCTATATGTATTACAACTGTAAACCTAGTTTTGCCCACCTCTGTATATACATATACATTTCCTTATTTACAACTGGAATAGTAGATTGAATTTTAGACTTGGAACCCAGTAAGTTTTAATCTTAGTACCTAGACCTATTGTATGTGTGCGTGCACATACACGAGTATGTGCTAGCATGTGCTGACCTGGAACATCTGTAAGATAGTGTCTGATCTATGAGGATGCGGCAGGGGCATCAGTGACATGGGAATGGGCAGGCAAAGAGCAGGTGTCCTGGCAGTAATAACACTCCTGGGTCCAAGTTAACTCTGTCAGATTTGACTGCATCTGCTGGATTTGCCCAAGTCGTGATGGGAGAGAGCATGTGTGAGTGTGCACCTCTCCACAAAGCCTTGATGTATTATTTTACTTCCACAACTGTCAAGAACACTTGTCAGTGACTGGTATTCAAACATATTCAAATATCTCGGAGAAGAACTTCAGAACAATTTCAATGCCAACTGCACAGAGTGACTAGAGACCCTAAGAGTAAAGGACCTGGAAATTGCAATAGTCAGATTTTTAAACTCCAGCTTTAAACTCTACACATATTTTTGCTGATGTTAGTGAAAGCATGATATTCTTTATGGACAAATGAACTGATAGGGACATTTTTTTTCTCTAATTCATGTAGCTTTTCAGTAAATTCTTTTCTTTTTATATTTTACTGTTGATTGTTTGCCATTCTTTTCCCCTTCTTTTTATTGAAGGTAAATTATTAGGAAGAGCTTTGAACTTAAGGTTTTCAAAATTTGATATTGATGATTCTGTTTGTGGGATATCAAAGAAGTATCCAGATTTCTTGGGACTGAGTTTCCTCATTTATAATTAAGATGTTGGATTAGATGAAATATAGAATCATTTTCACATTGAAAATTCTTTGATTAATTTGAAGGTTTGGTGGAGGTGTTTTTGGTTTGTTTTTTTGTTCACATGTAGAAAGAGATGGGAAGTATGATTGGGTCATTTTAGGTCAAAGACCATTTCTTTTATGCCTCTTTAAAACAGGAATTTTTGGCATGTGCAAACAGGGAATCACAATTGCCAGAAGGAGGAAGGGTCCTCTCACTTTGGCATCCTAAAAGGGACTGTCCATTAGTTATTCTGAATGAACAGGCTCTGAGCATTTTAAGAAGCCTCAGAGCCCAGCTGGCGTGGCTCAGTGGTTGAGTGTGGACCTATGAACCAAGAGGTCACGGTTTGATTGCTGCTCAGGGCACATAACTGGATTCGATTCCCGCTCAGGTTCCATATCCAGTAGGGGTGTGTGCAGGAGGCAGCCAATCAATGATTCTCTTTCATCATTGATGTTTCTATCTATCTGTTTCTCTCCCTTCCTCTCTGAAATCAATTAAGTTTTTTTTTTTAAAAGATGAATCCTCCAGGCTCAGGTCTGTGGGAGTCTCAAAATGAATTAGGCCTCAAAGGAGCTTATAATCTAATGGTAGACACCATACATAATTTTAAAAAAATGAATTGGGGTAAACAGAAATATAAGTAAAGTTATAGAAGCACACAGAATGGAAAGATTAATTCCAAAGTGTAAGATTAGGAACTTATTTGTTGAAAAAATGGCATTTGACCTGGGATTAGAAGAATGGTCAAAATTTCAAGGGATGTGGCTTAGGTTCAGGATTGGGAAGGGGGCTTTCCAGGTGAAATAAGCTAATTAAGTGAAGGAATGGTTGTATATTTGGGAAATGGCTGGAGGACTTCCCCTCCTGCCCCTCAGTAATGCTTTGTTAATATTTTTATCACAGAACTTCTTAAGTAATTAATATTTTTAGGTATCTGTCTTCCAGATCATCTATGAACTACTTATACACAGATAATATGATTTATTTATCTTTATAATCCTAAATCTTAGTACAAGGTAGCAGCTTGATCATTGGTGACCAGAAAATAAGTGTTGGGAAAGAAGCTTTTAGCCACCATAATTTTCAATTTTAACCAAATATAAACTGGATATATTGGTTAGGTTCACCTTGTGTAAATAGCCATGTGAAGCAATCGGAACATTTTCCCATCAATTTATTGTTATTTTGCATAATATTCCTGTATTTCATGATAAGGCTTATCACGGAGCCCTGTTAGAAATGAGATTTCTGAGGCAGAGTGAAATGGTTGGAGGAGTCTGAAGCAGAACTCTGATGTAA